TAATTATTTTAGTTTCAGTACTTTGACATTTTTCTTGGTATATATTATTCTTTGAACGTTTTTTTATTTTTTTCTTTTTGTTTTTCAAATAACTGAAATCTTTTTTTTCTGCCTTCGCTATCTTTTTTTTTGCTATTGCAGTATAATTCATGTTCTTAATTTATCATTCTTCAACTTTAAACTACCACCCGGAATGTATTTATCGCTTTTACAAACAATATTTCTTAATAGCAAAAACACTGACCATTCAATAAACAATGATATTTTCACTTTTTTATGTTTAGTTATTGCCATATCTGAAAAAAAAAATCGAAACATATGCGATTGTTTTTTTCCTTCTTCTTTTTCTTTTAAATTCATTTTATTGCATTCTTTACAGAATATGTCCTTTTTCTTCCTCTCCTTCAAAAATATTTATCAATAAATTAGGAGTGGGAAAAGAAAGAAAAGCACATAATAAAATCCGATATCTTATTGGTCATCACCACCTGGTACGAAAAAAATTTCTCTTTTAAATTTAGATAAATTAAATTTTAGCTACTGAAAAAATGGAAGAAGCCAGTTGTGTACTGAAAAAAGTCATACGATGAATTATTTCTGTGACAATTTTTGGGTATTTTTGAGAGATGTGACATCTCTCTGTTAAAAATGGACCAATTAGCTAACATATATCCTATTGATGAAATAATAAAAGCCTTTTGATGACATAAAAATTACTTGAATGAAGCATCACAGCGTAATCTGTAATTTCCCACCACATCATCATCACTATCATCGTCACTATCATCATCACTGTCATCATTATCATCGTCAGCGTCATCATCACCATCATCATTATAGCCATCATTATTATCGTTATCATTGTAATCATCGTCATTATCGTTATCATTGTCATCATCATCGTCGTCATTATCTTCACATCATCTTATTTGCTTATGAGAGAAGAGAGAAAAGAGAGCGGAGAATGATGAAAAAATGGGAGGTAAAAGTGATATTTAGTAATATGAAGCTTTTTGTTTAATGAAATTATGAAAAGTATGTTGAAAACAAAACACTTCTTACTTTAGCCATATAATTGTATAGTTGTCCCCATAACTCGTAACATTTGCTTGGCTCGCTTCCTATCATTACTAATTTTCTGCACTCTGAGCCTTTTGTCTGCTGCAAATAATATCGATTAACCTCTGCTATCTTTGTACAAATTCATCCATTTTACTTAAATATTTATTTACTAACTTCACTGACATATACCTTCCACTTAATCAGGCATTTCGTTGAAATATTTTTGAATGGAATGAAACTCTCTCAATTCTTCAAAGTCTTACTTATTTTTTTTTCTTTCTTTTTTTTCCTTTCTTTATTATCTGCTTGATTGCTTTCTTGTCTTTTTGAATGTTTTATTAATATACGCTCACTTTTAATTTCATTTCATTTTTAATATTTTCATTGTTTGTATAAATTTTTAGGCATTTATTCAAAATGCATGATGATATTCATTGATTTTGTAATTTTTTTCATTAATTTATATTACGAAATGTTTGATTTTTTTTCTTAATAAATAACAAAAAATTTATTTAACAGAAAAGCATTTTTTTCAAAAATAATTTCATAAATTATCGTTATATGTGATATTTGCTTGCAGTATTGAAAGTTTGTCCACGTTTGCAGATAGTATAATCTTTCTCGAAAACATTCGAATGTCATCCTCACCTTTTCTTTCAGGGAAAAGAGGAAACTTCGTATTCATAACGAATAGCAAGAAGAATCATGAATTAAATAGTCTTTCTCATAAAATATCAATTTTTATCATAAAATAATGCAACAGAATATACACTTCACCACTCCGTGTTGCAATTTTAAGAAAATTTCAATTTTCATTCTTTCAATATTTTCTCCTAAAACGATCTTTCACAATTATTTTAGCAATAAAAAAAAAGTTAGCATCACATGGGGAAAAAAATATTTGAGTGGGAAATTTGTATGGTTTGTTAATCAGAGTTAAAAAATTTCACTGAAAGATTTACTGTCAATAAATTTCAATCTTTGATGCCGTGAACAAAAAAAAAGAAAGCAAAAAATTAGATCGAAACAAAAAATTTTGAAAGTCTTATTCATATCGATTTTAAAAGCATCATTTGCTTGACAGAATGTATTTGTCTCTGTCATTAAATCTAATTTTTATTCTATGCCATCTTTTACCAGTTAAAAATTCCTACTTAATTAATAATTAATTTGCCTTTGGCTTTCACTTCCCTTCTTTTTTTCCTTTTATTTTGTCTAACAGATCAAATAGAATAGTTACTGTAGATTAAACCTCAAGCAAATATTTTTTATTTCAATTAGATCATTTAAAAACAACATGTACGCGCATTCATGTCATATCATATATATCATTACTTTATTATTGGCTGAATAAGCTGCCTAAAAATGCAGGCAAAAAAACAAAATAGAAACAATGCTTTTGCAGAAAGAAAGTTAATAGCAAACATATATTATTTATTTACTTACCAGTTATCAGTTAACAATTACCAGTTATCAGTAGCTGTCAACATTAAACATTACATCTACATTTCATTTGTCACTGTTGTTGTTGGACGATAGACATTCCGTTTAAAATGTAAGTTTTAAAATTTTTTACAAAAAGAAATTTGTAGACAACGCCTAAAATAATAATTTATCTATTTTTGTCGGATTTTTATCTTATAAATTTTCATCTAAACTCTCATATATGCATAACTTTTGCTATCTTTTAGAATTCATAAATTATAAATATTACTCATATTAAAGGATCAAAAACAATATCTAAATTCAAAAAAGATTTTAATATTGATTGAATCCATCATCGAAAATAAATGACCGATGTGGAATTTCATTTCCTCCATTTCATTCGAAGGTAAACAAATGTAAACTTCAAAATGACAAGAAACTGAACCGGTTATGATAAAAACAATATATTTGCAAATTTTTATTCAACTTCTTAACCGCATGCTGAGGGAAGAATAAAAAAAAAATGTGATCAAGTGGAATTGCATTTTACATCCAATTTTCAGGTGTCAAATAAATTAATAAAGCTTCAAATAATTAAACATTTGGAAAATTTTTTTGATTAAATCCTTTTTTCCTTGCAGTAATGTCTGATTGTAATTATTCTTGCGGGAAACTTACTGACCGCGATTGAAGAAATACATTTTTTTTTTTGATTATTTCTTAATTCTCACACTATCCTTTAGTATTTAAATGACAAAAAATTAATTTCTTTTTTCTTTAAAAAGCAGCAATTTGATGGGATTATTTATTCGTGCAGAAAAAAGAAATTTCATTTTCTAAAAAAAATATTTCCCAAAAAAAAATTAAATTGAATTTCACTCGTACTTTATCCTTACATACGTAGTTGCAATTATAAAATAATAGAATTCAGCTTAATTCTTTTCTAATTTAATTATAAATTTCGATCAATATATATGTATAATTATATTCTATTTCATTTTGATTGTAAATGAATTAAAATAAATTAAATTGAATTCTGAACTCATTCCATGCATCTCATTTCTTTTGTAATGTTATTAGCAAATTGATTTATTCCATGAGCCAGAAAAAAAGGAAAGAATATATAATTTGAAAAAAAAATAGCAAATATTTTACATATACTGAAATTGAATGCTTTAAAGATAATCATATAATGGAAATTTTTAAACAACATCCGAAATAAATAAAATTTATGTAAATTATTGTTAAATACGATTTCATTCAGACATTTGTAAATGAAATTTCATGAATTGTTAAGATGATTAAATGTGAAGAGAGAATAAATTTTGAAGAATTGCTTCAGTAAGCATTGCAGTAATAATAATAATTATTATTATTATAAAGCAGGTTGAGGCAACACATTACTTTAACACAAATTTGTTTTCTTATTATGAAAAAAAAATCCTTTTTTTCGACTTTCTTCTTCTTTTCTCTTATTTGTCAGAATATGATTAGAAATGCTTCTGTGTGAATTTTGTTATTTAATTTTATAAGCTTTGTTGTGTATGATTCCTCAATAAATATATCCATCTCTATTTTGTCAAAATTAATTATTTTTATGAAGCATTGAAATTTTGGAAATGATTCCAAGGATTTTTATACTCATTATTATTTTACCTATGATTTTAGCATTTTACTATATATTATTGATTTGTCTAGTTTAAAAAAAAAGATTGTTCTAATATTTCCTTATATTATCCTATATTTTTCATTTTTATTAAACTAACATTTTAATATTGCAACAGTGGAATAACTTCCAGCTTATAATGGCTGCCATTTTTAAACTTTCGATTTATTTCGAAATTAATTCTAACACTAAGAAATTCTATAAAAAA